CTCGTATCACTGTATGATTCGTGTTCTACCTAAAGTATATGGAAAGCATGGGAAGAGTACACTCTTACATCGAACCAAGAAAGTAAAATATATGAATTACTCAGAAGAAAATATCCGAAATCTGAAAAACATGTTTCATACGACGAACTGGGAATTATTTACAGATGACTCACTGGAAATCACTACTGATGTTATCACTTGTTACCTTAAATTCTGTTTTGATATTTGTTGTCCCACTGAAGCCATTTTTGTAAGTTTTGATAGACTTCCATCTTCACAACTAAAACGACTACGGAGGTTGAAAGAAAGAATGTACAAGGAGAAGAACTCTAATGTAGTTCGTATGCTAAATGGTCTGATAAACCTAGAGATTAGACGTCCCAACTCTATGTTTACTCAAAAACTATTGTCTTGCACAAACTCTATAAATAACTTACAGGTGACAGACAGTTTAGGAGCGATAACCAGCTGAATGTTTGTGACCTAACTAAGTCTTTTGTACGTAAGTCATCTGATGTGATGCTCCCTTTGTCCACAAGTTTGTAGTGACTCAAATTTATCATGAGAACATGACTTGTTTAATAAAAACAATTATTGTTATAACCAATTGTACCAGTGACTGTTTTAATGTGCTTTTGTTTAACTGTGCTAAAAGTATCCATTATTCTTATACTTTGATTGTGACTTCGCGCGAATTCGGTTACGTTCTGTAACCAAGCTTGTATCCTGGCACGATCTCGGTATCCTTTCGATACCACGAGGTCGCCAGTAAATATACCTCGACTTGGTCCATTAACTGCCTTCTGATATTTGGCTTCCGGGGTATTTTATAGAGTCATTTGGCACGCGTTTTTTGGTAGCGATGCTCATAGTCAATCACGAATCCACACCACGCTACAGGTTTAAAGAATAGCTGTGAACCTAGTTTCACTGAAACCAAAATCCGAAGATGTCTCCAGTCACTTAATTCATCACGATGTTTGAGATCTGATGAAATTCCACACATCCTTTTTAAGAAATGTGCTGATGTCCAATGTTATCCATTCACAACTATCTTTAGCAGATCCTTCGCATCTAATCTCATACCGGAAATGTGGAGAAAAATGAAGATAATTCCTGTACCCAAGAAAGTATCTGGTGATAGGAATGTGAAATGAAGACCTATTGCAATAACTTCACCCTTCCTCAAAACAATGGAAACATTATTAATACTCTCACTTCAGCCTGCGATAAATGAGCACATTGATCCGTGTCAGTTTGCTAACAGATGCAAAAGACGCACCTTAGATGCTGTTGCTGTTCTACATCACAATATAGTGTTCAACTTAGAAAAGGGTAAGAAGTATGTTTGATATGCTTTTCTGGACTATACTTCAGCTTTTGATTCTATACCAAGACAACGTTTGCTTAACAGGTAAATTAGCGTTAGCACTAACAGCTAGATAACCAACTGGCTATGTTCCTACCTCTCTGAAAGGGAACAGTACACTGTATTTGGAGGAAAGTGTTCAGCGTTTCTACTGTCTCATGAAGGTGTACTACAAGGAGCTGTTCTTTCACCTCTTCTTTTCTCTTTTTTCTGAATGATCTACCATCTTCCACAGAAAATACTTTTGTGAAATATACAGATGATCTCTTCCTCTTTACACGCCATAGAAATGAATGAGTTCTTGTCTCGTATTGATTGTTGGTCTGTTGGTAATGATCTAATACTTAACCTGTGAACGTCAGCATGAGACATGAACGGCATCTAAACACCATTTTGAGATCCCTTAATGCTTGTTTCATTGAAGACTCTTTGATAAACACAGTGTCGAGGGTAAATTATCTTGGTGTTACCTTTTCCTCTGATCTCTCTTGGTCTTCTCACGTTTTATTGTCATCAAAGAAGGTTTTCCGTCTGACTTACTACATAAAGAGATTGCATGCTCTTGGGATTACTCGTCATTTGCTCTTACGATTTGTCAATTCTTTCATATTACCTATTATTCTGCTATGGCATTGGATCATGACCACACAATCCACAAAGCTAAACACGAGATTACTTGGAAAATAGATATTCAATATTTTTTAACGCGGAGAAATACCTAACGATGGAGAAGGCGGGATGAATGTATTGAATGGATTGGAGTTGATCGGATGGCATGGCTCGGCCATGTAGGCGTGATCCCTCTGAGTATTACCTTATATCTTTTATTCATATTAAATATATTGTTCTTTCTCTAGCCTAAGCTTGTTCTTCATCATGTATTGGTAGTTAATACGATAAAGTGAGTTGGTGTAGACGATGATGTGACTTTCACGTAAGATCTTATAGATTAGGCAGTTATATCATGACAAATCTACAATTATAGGATTAGGTCTGTTATTAGAGCAATACTAATATCACAGTAGACCATAATTCTACAATTCTTTACTTTTCTCCATCATTCTTTCCTGGGCTTTTGAGAAAAGACTTTGCTGTATTGCGGAGAGTGCTGAAGGAAGTTAGCAAGATGTGTGTTGAATCTTTCGAGGTCACAATTAATGTGGTTGTGGATGGACATCTTAAGTCATGCAAACTTCTGGCAGGTGTTATTTTATCAGATACCAACCACCCCCTTCACTCTTATCTTTCTCCTTGTATATCTTCTGGTAGAATGAGACGTAATTATATTAAAATCCATGAACGCAAGCAAGATTATAAAAGTTCTATAATAACCTATGAATGATCCAAACTAAGGTTTGTGCTGATGAATAACTGACCAGGCGGGTGAGATACGCACCCTTGTCCGTTGGAACCAAAACAAAGTAATTGGGTAAAATGACGGTTCTATAATTCATCATAAATTTAAATGTACATTATTACCTAAACAAATGTGACCACTCAGCTATCCAACCAATAATTGCTCAATTGATCAAATCTAAATTACAATAAATAAGGAAGTTGATAAAGGATGCAAGAAAATTACCAATGACATCAAATAAATGTTATTCTATCCTGTCTGGATAGACCATGCACAGATTTGTTTAAAAGATAATATTTGGTTGCTTTATAACACAGGGTGTTTCCAATTCTGGTAGAGTGCCTCAATTCACAACCAAAAATGCACAATTCCAGTCAACACAGGTAAATCAGTCAAAAGGAGGAACAAACCAGTATGGCTGCAGCCAAGACTAAGTATAGAGTAAAACAGCATAAGTGCAGTTCAGGAAGAAACATCAAGACTTAGTGAAGGCGTAATAAAATTGAAAACTATAATAAAATACAAGTATTACCAATTCCAATGTAATCAACAATAACAGTCGGCGTATTGACGTAACCATCCTTTCCCAGACTCTACCCCTGTTGCTGGATGAGGGCGGGTTAAAATGCCACTGAATCTGTCTCGCTGACAGTTCCTTTTTTATCTTCTTCCGATTCAGCTGTCTCACAAATGTCATTAGTTCAGAGACTGCACCCACGAAGTTTGACCCATCGTCACTGTAAATTTCTGTAGGCTTCCCTCTTCTTCCAATAAAACGTAATAAAGCCATTATAAATGAATCAGTATTCAAACTATATGTTTATTCAATATGTACTGCTCGGGTTTGTGTTGAAATACTCTGTGCTGAGAATTCTATACTGTACCAAAATATAATATTGAATAAAATCATTATTAATAATAATATTAATAATGATAGTGATAATGATCAATCCATGCATCACTGCCATACAGCTAATATGTAAACAAGAAAAGGATGTAATTCGAGTTCACTCAGACATATTTATGAATACATATGAGTGGCGAATTTGTAAACAATAAACATTCCAAAATGTTCTGTAAATTCCATTTAATCATTTTAATCCGGATTATCGAATCTTTGATAGGTAAATAACTCTTATTATTTAAATAAATGTTTTCGTTACATTCAGTCGTTTGGTGGTTTTTTCGTATTAAACTGTAGTTTATGTCGGTACATTATGGTTCATAACCTACATTTAATCTCAGACAACGGTGTTTCATTGGTTTATCGTTCAATTCATTTGTATAAATTGTTCACTCCTCCAAGTCATATCTCTAACAATAATAGGACAGTTGCAGTAAGTTGTTCTGTAATATTTTCATAAGGAATTGTAATCTGTAACTGAGGTTGTTAGCTTATCTTCTGATTTGTTAATTCATAGAAGTTTAGGAGATGCATTACAATGAGTTTATTTCAGGTACACAAGTGTATTATTTCATCAGTATACTCTATTTCTGTATTATGTATGTATTACGTATTAAAACCCACTTACGAAACAAGAATTCTTTTGTTGAATTCAAAACTAAAACAACACATATGAGCGAACACTAAAGTTGTCAATACGATCTTCATCAGAGTCTACTCTATGAACATGTGAAAATATTAAACTTATCAAGGGAACTTATGGATCAACGATCACAATGAAATAGATTACAGAATTGCACATAATGGGTAAATTGTACGAATTGATGATTGTCGGACAGGTGTACTATTGCACTATTAATGAGAAGCAAAATGAAATAATGCAAGATTTCAAGATTCACTGACAACTTCACGAAATGTTCATCCAAGTTAATCATCAAACGTAAACTTGACAGTGACTGTTCGTCTCCCCAAAGAAATTTATATCTAATAGTGGAATTCATGAGTCAATTAAATGTAGACCGCCATGGAATACCTGGAAGTACTGGATGGCTGTTTCGTCCTAATAACGGGCTCCTAAGTCAGTACATAATTCTAGTGTAGATCATACACAGTCCACTGATTATGATCACTCTATACATATGTATAAATGAGAAAATATCAAAGTGACAGCGAGTGAACATAGATGAATTTGGTGCTAGGAAATAGAGAACAGTTTTGTGCCGATATTCAGCATTAAGAACATCAAATTAACATAATCAAGTGTTGTATTAAATTAAGATAGTTTTGTACAGAAATGATTTAATATTTGCTTATTTTCATAAAAATGTCAGTCATAGTGTGATGCTTTCTACTATTAATATCAACTGTAGGAATGATATCCCACACGTGCAAATTGTATATTGCTGTAGTGATTTTATGCACATTAAGCATAATGAAAATTGAATCAGCCACATTTTTAGTACCAATTCGGTTTTACGAGACAGGTATGTGCATTATTTATTCATTATTAATATACTTATCATTATTATTGTTATTGTTAGTGGTAGTAGTAGTAGTGCGGTATGCACGGACACGAATTATTAGTAGATAGTAGGAATTGGAAGTAGGATACATACCATTTAAACAGTCAAGTAAAAAGAAGAGAATAAAACTGAAGAGCAGTCGCAGTGATAACAAGATAGGAAGAATAATGAAGTGTGTAAATAACAATTGAAGAAATATATGCAAGTGATGTATTAAGTGTAAGATTTTCATATTTCACAAAAGCATTGTGTGATTCTGAACAAAAGAACAAACTGGCTGACCTCACCAAATCTCCATCCAATACAGTTGGAATAGTAGTAGTTGTGGTAGTAGTAGTAGTAGTAGTAGTAGTAGTAGTAGTAGTAGTAGTAACACGCAATTTGAGTAGATTTATGATATGATTCAAAATTCAATTAACATGTCTTTCTTTGTAGCCTCACTAATCATAGTTTACTGCTTTTTAAACTTAAGGAGAAATGTATGTTAACGTAGACGGAGTGGATATTTCACTCGACCATAATGGTGTAGTGAAAATGGTGAAAGGCGACTGTACTACAACAATTTCGTTAGAACCACCAAGTGAAGTAGAAATAGCAACTCGAAATGGATGGCGCAACTGTACTTAGTAAGTTCTTAAATATGAGAAAGATGATCTATGAATGTGAGTAATAAATGCATTTATACCGCACATACGACAAAGTAGTCATATCAAAGAACAACCATTCTGATAATGAGGCTCAGTTGAATGACAATCATAAAGTGCTTTGAGAAAAGATAGATAATTTTTACACTATTTAAAAGGTATCCAAAATTATGCAAACACTTTTAAAATAACGTAATCGTCAGGAGGTAGCAAGAACATAAATAACTTAGAAGATAGATGTGAAAAGTGTTTGCTTGATGTATTTAAAAAGCGCATAGAAAAGTCAGACTTGTTTTGAAATTTGCAGTCAAGAATGGAGATTGACTCCACAGAGATATGGAATATTGGCATAGTACTTCTGCACACTAAGACTGAGATTAAAAAGATGTACTTTCAAAGCCTCGGTTGTATTTAAATGTATGAGATAATTCGAAAACTACTCTGTTTACAAAACAATTTAGTACTCGATTGCAGGTAACATAACTTGGTTTCTTCTCACTTGTCAAACATTTTAGCCAATGTGGACCACTGCAACCATCACAATCCTGGGAGGCAGTTAGAGAATACTGAATAACTACAACACGAATGTAGAAATCATTTATTGTCTACAACGGAAATGTTGACTCTTGATTATCTCATTTTCGAATGTGTTTGATTTTTTTGTTACACTCATTTGAATAAATTATAATTCTTAGCATCACTTTTCGTTCTATTTGTTTGTTTACTGGTAATCACATTTCACTGAAGAACACGTAGTATACATATTGCATGAGTGACCAGCTACCATGTCGAACGACAGTTGATTTAACCGTTAATTTAACAGCACATTGCAAATCAGTTTTAGTTTGTACATTAAGCACAACGTATGCAACTAACAAACGACAGATATATTGGTTGCCTGGATCTTCCCATTGATGCTAGGGACTATAATTATCCAGTCGCTTTCTGATATGTGTACATCTTTTGTGTATTTCCTAGATGTCGTTATTAAGTTACAAGCATTGTAACAAGTGGATGATGGGTAGTAGTGTATTCCGGGAAGCACGCTTCTTCCTGTTTGTGATTCGTCAGTTGCATGTCTCAACATTCCAGATTTGATGTGCTTTCTGGAAATCGAAACCAGTAGTGTTCTCTCCAAACACCATCACCGTTTTGCACACATGGTGATTGAGTTGAAATAACCAGTGACTTGTGTAATGGAATGAACATCAACTTTGAGACTCGAACAAATGATAACAGTTGCTGGATGCCGGACGGTCAATTATTTCATCATTAAGTTATCTCGAGGATGTCACATGATTGATCGGATAAGACAACGTTCGTAAGACATTCTTCCATAGTGTGATATGGAGGATGACTTAAGAATGTTGAGTGTGATATAATTTTTGAAACAATCTCACTACAGTGGACCCAGCTTCCAAGATACACAGATTTCGAGGTGTATGAATCAATGCCTAGATCATATTGTCGCGTATCGATGCAAGAATAATTGGCTGTTTTTGTAGATAGTTTGAATGGTTGGACGTATATTTTACAGTGGAATGATATAAACCTGATGCAAGGTCCCATCGATCGTGAACGCGTTAGGATAAGTTGTCATCATCAGAGCATTTTACTTTAGTTCACTTTCTGATGAATCATTTAAGAACCCATACTGACTAGCTGAATACTCATGCAATTCACCTAATCGTAGTTACTACAGACCACTGCAACCATCACAATACTGGGACGCAGTTGAATAAAACTGAATAACTACAACACGAATGTAGAAATCATTTATTGTCTACAACGGGAATGTTGACTCTTGATTATCTCATTTTCGAATGTGTTTGATTTTTTTGTTACACTCATTTGAATAAATTATAATTGTAAGCATCCCTTTTTGTTCTATTTGTTTGTTTACTGGTAATCACATTTCACTGAAGAACACGTAGTATACATATTGCATGAGTGACCAGCTACCATGTCGAACGACAGTTGATTTAACCGTTAATTTAACAGCACATTGCAAATCAGTTTTAGTTTGTACATTAAGCACAACGTATGCAACTAACAAACGACAGACATATTGCCATCATCAGAGCATTTTACTTTAGTTCACTTTCTGATGAATTATTTAAGAACCCATACTGACTAGCTGAATACTCATGCAATTCACCTAATCGTAGTTACTACAGATTACAACAAAATATGAAGGACCTATTAGCAGTGTACACTACAGTCGACACTCGTTGCCTGTGTCTATGTGTCTATCATGTATTTTTAGCCTATGCACAGCTCTGTCGGATCTTCTTGATTGTTCACAATTCCGATTTTCACTTTATCTAGTTTTCTGAATTAAGGAATGATTTAAGGCTTCGTTATTGATAAAGTGGTCACAAAATTTGTACTTCAACCATCTATCTGAAGTTCGTTGCACTTACCCTTATCACTTGTGATATTTTCCTCGGTTCTATTCATGTAGAAATACAGTATTCTAGGTTTCGCACTAGAACTGAAGAAACGATCTCTTGAAGTTAGTGATGAGCATGCATTTATTGGCATTTCTGACAGAACTATGTATGAACTGTAGACGTTGACTCTACGGGTGTTCATCTCTCTGAAGTTGATAATCTCCGTGCAGTATATGAATCTCCCACATATATTCCTTCGTGGTTTATAAGATGTACAGTGTTGGTACAAAAAACGGTCTGGTGTTTTATGATTTTCAGTGGTTGTTTGGCTGATATCACCTGAAAAGTCAGCTCGTCATCCGAATGAGAACAGTGACATGAGGATTTAGTAAGAAACGCTTTTCACTTTTAGAATAGTGAAGTTTTTCTTGACACTGTCCCGTCTACTAAAATGTCTATCAATATCACAGATGCATCTCCGTTGGACAAAGGTGCAGCTCTACAGCAGAATGCTTTCAAAGTTTAAGCGGTAAATAAATCATGTTCTGCTTCATCAGGACCATGAACAAAAGGGTCATCATGACAATTATTAACATTGCTAAGATCATCAACTACGTTATTCATAACATCTCGGAATATTGTTGAAGAACGACTTAGACTGAATGGAAGACAATTGTATTTAAACAGACTAAAATAAGAGGTAATCATTGACGAGATCGACGAATGTTAATCCATTAGAATCTCGAGATGGGGACATTTCAAACACTTTTTGAATACAAATTCAAAACAATAAAGTGAATTGAGAATACGACCAGCTTCCATTGTAATGAATGTTCGCTTCTAAAGTAAGAGAAGTCAATGGTGACAAGTCGACTTTACTACCTCTCTTTAAACTCAGTACAGATGGTCTTATGTCACTCATTATGAAATCATGAGGGGTGTATAAATAACTGTCATATCTAGCTGACAATTCGTAAAATTCTCGTGAATGCTTTTTTTTAAAGTAAAGTAGAATAACAAACAAACAAACATACGCTGAACTGGATTTCTAGTTGCAGTTTCATTATCGCCATCATCAGCGGTAGTAGTAGTAGTAGTAGTATCGATAATATCATCAGTTTTATTAGCATAAGTAGTAGTTGTCGTAATATTCATAGTTGAATAAATTTTATTTGGGATGGACAGAATTGTCTTTTGATTTTGACTTCTCTGGGTAACAGCCAAAAATATAACATGGGTAACCAAACACTCATCGTCCATAAATAGAAACTTATTCTAGCTAGATTTCAAATTGATTCAAAAATGATGTAGATCTGTTCAAACAATGAGGGATCATGATCGATGATGAGGTGAATGACCTCAAAACGAATTTCAGGAAACAAGTAGAAATCGAACATTGATGAATAATCATCAAATCATCACTCTCTACACTACGAGATTCCACCTTCCGAATTGCCTAATTCTCATTCAGTCATGACGACACAATAAGGAACTCAATAAGAGAAACAATTTCTAATCAAACTTGTATTCTGTGTTCAGCAGTTCCGATATCTATTCATGTGCGGAAAGATCCTTCACAATTCACTAATGATTTCTGTAGGTAGGAATAATGTGATAAGTCTCATTTCATTTTGATCAACTCCGTCTACCAACACAGTAATGAATTCCATATGGTATGAGGCATAAAATATTGAATAAAGTGGGCATCTTAACTATTGGCTGTATGTATCCACCTCATTTTCAGCATTTTTGAAACCATCGATTACGACTTGCATCGCAACATCAAACAGTTCATTTGGGAGCCGTCATATTTGTTTCTCAGTCAGTGTATTGACTGCTGATGCCTCTACCTAAAATACCTATTATTTTCATCTGAAATTATTTCAAATGGAATGATGATCACTCTCATTCCACCACTTCTTCTACATTTCAAAACACTTACATTCTCACTGTCCTTGATGAATATAATGGATCACAAAACACACCAATCAGACCAAAATAATGCAGCATAGGACACAATTACAATTTACGTATCAGGTCAAAATAAAGATGATAAATGATGAGACATTGAAAAGATAATTCGAACATTTCAAGCTGCCAGTGAATAATAATATTAATAATAATAATAATGATAATAATAATATTAACTGCCAGTCAATACCAATGTTAAGAGTTTTGCTTCAAACGTCATGACAATCTTAATTTAGGTATCTGAAAATTAAAGAAATACTTCAGCCACCATCTAAGAGGTACAGATATTTATAGATGGCTGTCTACATTGATCTGATATCTTCGGTAATAATCAAGTCAGGTAGTTAACAAATCAGCTTCCAGCTGAAAATGACGTTAGCAAAAGATACAAAAGTTGAGTAGGCCACATTTTATGGAAGACGTCAAATTGCGTCATGAAGAAAGCGCTAAACTGAAATGAGAAAGGCAAAACGTACTTATTGGTAACAGTAGTATTGTCGATGAACCTTCAAGGTCTCATACATACGAATTTTCTTAATGGTGTTTCATCAGACAGAAAGAGAAACTGAATACATTCTTCATTATCAAGGGCTGGGTGAATCTGTTTTGAATGCATCATTGATGAGAAAATAAACAAGTCCCAACAAATATTTGTCAAACGTGACTATTACTCTTGGTTATTTTTGACAGAAACATTGAACCTAAACTTCAAATTGGAGAACCTCACAAAATTCCAGAAAGGTTGCTTACTCTCACCCTTTCTCTTTCTCCTGGTGATCGACTGGATCATGAAGACGTCAACATCTGCAGTTGGACGATCTGGACTTCGCAGATGATCTAGCCCTTCTATCCCAAACGCAACAACAAATGCAGGAGAAGACGAACAGTGTAGCAGCAGCCTCAGCAGCAGTAGGTCTCAATATACACAAAGGGAAGAGCAAGGTTCTCCGATACAACACAGCATGCACCAATCCAATCACAATTGACGGAGGCTTTGGAAGATGCAAAAACCTTCACATATTTGGGCAGCATCATTGATGAACATGGTGGATCTGATGCAGATGTGAAGGCGCGGATCGGCAAAGCAAGAGCAGCATATTTACAACTGAGGAACATCTGGAACTCAAAGCACCTGTCAACCAACACCAAGGTCAGGATTTTCAATACAAATGACAAGACAGTTCTACTGTATGGGGCTGAAACCTGGAGAACTACAAAAGCCATCATCCAAAAGATACAGGTGTTTCTTAACAGTTGTCTGCGCAAAATACTTCAGATCCGTTGACCGGACACTATTAGCAACAACGTACTGTGGGAGAGAACAAACCAGATCCCT